AAGCTCAGTTCTTATAGTAAATTGAATTTAAAGCATCATTTTGACACTGATTTCAGGTTCCACACTGGGATTACATAGCTTACAAGCCCACAACATGTTGACATAACATTAATCATTGTACAGATCACTAGAATTTGATTGTCTACCAACTATCCAAGATGTCGGCTAATATCCTCCGAGACTAAATATGGTTGGATGTTTGGGTAATAATGTTGGACACAGTCTTAATGATAAAAGAGCTTTCTAATTACCAATGACATGTTGTATTATCATATATCTCTTTGGTTCTCCAAAACTGATAACTACGTCTTAACGCTTAACATACCAATATTGTGTTGAATGGCATGTAGCGTTCAGACATGTGTCCATTTTAACAGAAACACATAGCTTTGCAAGTTAAAGTACAGTAAACTCTGGTTAATGTCACATCTGTTAATGTCAATTTCTGGTTAATATAATGTTTTTTTGAAACAATGATTTTTCCCTTCATATTCTGAGTCATGGAACTGTTGATAATGTCAATGTTTAGTTTACCCAGTATGTCATATTGTTTTAAAGTGATTGTATTTACATAGTATCATCTACGTAATTAAACTTTTGTTGATATCACTTGGAAAGATGTCCTCTTAACAATCACACCAATTTGGAATTTGTCTGATCTGACTTTGAAGTAATTATATCATTAAAGTTGATAGTGCTGTTAACCTCGTCCCCTTTTTCCTGCTCCAATAAAAAGCAAATTCAAACTTCAGTTTAATATGTACCAAGAAGAAAAAGAAACACAAATACAACTTGACACTTTGATAAAAAAATATTTATGAGCAATATGTCTGAATGTGAAATGCAATAGTTAACTTCAAATATTGGACCATCCGTCTTCAAATTTTCTGATACAGTTGAATCAGCAGAAGTTGTCAGACTGATTCCTAATATCGTGTGTGCCCTCCCTGACCAGCTATAGTGTCTCTAATTCAACGTGACATGGAGTTCATAAGGACATTGACTGTCTGTACAGGAATGTTATTACATTCCCCGTAAATGCGTTGACCAATTGGCAGAGGGAATTTGCCATGTTTACTGTACCCAAAAACTCTTCCATCTAATTCATCTGACAAGTGTTCAACTGGGGACATATCGGAGGTATATGGAGGCCAATCAGTAAGAATGATGTTCTGGGTTGCAAGAAAATCCCTACAAACTCTTGCAGCGTATGATATAGTGTTATCATGCTGAAAGGTCACATGTTACCTTAGAATGAAAGGCACAACATGAGGCACCAGGATTTCATCTCAACAGCATAAATCTGTTAAATTCCCCCTAATAATCACTCAAGGTGTCTTTAAACCATAGGAAATTTCTCCCCAAATTGTAACTGATCCACCCCCAAATCTGTCATGCTCCAGAAAAAACAAACATCTGGAAGATGCTCTCCTTAATGCTAATACACATATTGACAGCCATGGGACAGAAATAACATTCATCAAGACTCCTCCATAAAGAGCCTCGAATGTCTCATTAGGAAATGTCTGGGCGCATGTGTCGTCAACCATCATAACACATCAGGAAATGTCTGGGCACATGTGTCGTCAACCATCACAATACATCAGGAAATGTCTGGGCACATGTGTCGTCAACCATCACAATACATCAGGAAATGTCTGGGCACATGTGTCGTCAACCATCACAATACATCAGGAAATGTCTGGGCACATGTGTCGTCAACCATCACAATACATCAGGAAATGTCTGGGCGCATGTGTCGTCAACCATCACAATACAACATGCTCAACATTGAGATGTCATTGGCACACCAACGCACTGGTGACATGGGCGTGAACTTGCCTCTTGCAGTTTATTTCTCACCATTTTTGGGTGGATTCAATGGTTTCCATTACCAATGGTATTTTGTGTTCTTATGGCTGATGGGAATCTCAAGTGGGCAAGTCTGATGAACCAATCTTGACGTTGTGATGTTAAACGTGGACATCCGTATCTCAGTGTGATATCAATTCTCTCAGTAGTGCTGAGACGTAAAACTGAATGACTTAAGAGTCAATTTATAACTCCTAACTGAGCAGCAACCTGCTGTTGAGTGATTTCTCCCAGCACCACTGCCAGTGTCAGTCCTCTATCAAGTTGGAATAGGCTTGGCATATTTTTAAAAACAGTCATTGATTGTAAATGTATTTGTGTCGTGGTGATCATCAGATATCCACACTACTTTGAGTGGGAAAGAAAGCATGCATTTGTACTGTCATAATATATTGATAATTATGGCACACTGAACGTGGATTACATTTTTGTCACAGATGACAGATTTTTAACATCTATTAAGGGATTAGGTATATTATATTATAAATATTCCTGTGATTTTTCATACAGCTATGTACATTCAATACAAAAAAATATATTACAATTAAATAAGTTGCGTTTCTTTCTTCTTTCAGTATATTATCAAAAGTTTCCGTAAAAGTTATCAAATCAAGATCTTGGGTGAACAAAGACAACAAATCATCGGCTATTTCTAGACAAAGTAAATATGTTCAATAATATTCAATCCTATCAGAAGTCAACACAATTTTCCTCTGATGACAAATATCAAATGTGCGCCATCCTGAGCAAAATCTGAGAGACTACGAAATTATCAAACACTCAAGGCCCCATGTCCGACTGGCATTACTTGTATAATAAAGACTTTCACTGACAGAGATGCTATAAGCTTTCACAGCTTTGTGTTTCAGCGGAGCCTTACAGGACATTGTCCTCATGACATTTATACCCTTAGATCAAATTAGTGTGCAGAGAGAGTGATCGTTAAAGATAGCAACGTTATCGAGGAGAACTTCTGGAATTAACAGTAAGCCAATTGTTGGTTTAGTAAATGGTTGGTTTGTGTGAATCACGCCATTTTGTCCCCAGAATTTAGACGCTGTGGCCATAAAGTATGTAACAGACGGTTTAAGATCCAGAAAAAAAAAATTCTGTGTTTGGCTGTGATAGGTCTTTGACGTGCCCTCAGCCAGTAATTTCTACAAAAATGCTGACACATTGTATAATAGCCCTTGTGAAAATTGACAGACTTAAATGGTGCTATGAATATATTGACAAACCGGTGAGTCCCCACACAGCTTTGTTGACGACAAAATTGGCGAATCTTTGTGTATAATTTTAAGAAAGTGTTGTTTTGCCAATTTGCAGCTGAATCTTTTCCCAACACGGTCTTCTCTCGTTTGATCAGAACTGAACGCTTGTCGAAGCCTTAAGCTCCATATTTAGTCGTAAATAAGCCCATGCCAAGATATAAGCCCAAACAAAATTTTAATATCCTCCAGTAAGTCCACCACCTGATATTTAGTAAAATATGTAATATGTATGTCCTTCCCCTCACCTTCCCACCCCCTACTGTAACCACATCTCTTGAAGGATAAATTCAGTCCATATTTTGAGTTATTATTTTTTTCTGTCCAGGATGCTATTTCATAAAATCATAAAATCTATGTCATTGCCCCTAAGAGAGATCAAAACTGTGACCAATTTAATCATTTAGACAAATGCCCTTCGAAAGGCGACAAACAGAATTCTCATTAACTGAACAGAAGTGCAAAATGTTTTTGCGGTGGTGTCACACTTTTTTTGTTAAGTGCAAAGTTTGAGTTACCGTCAACTGAGTTTTAAGGTAATCATTTATTTGTTTATTTGTTTGGGGTTTTAAATATCTTAGCAACAGTTTCAGTCATAGCAAGATGGTATCTACATGCGCTAGGCCACTAAAACATTATTTCATAGTGCTATCACACTGGAATGTCATAACCTGGACTCAGCAACATGACACCTATACCAGTCACATCATATTGACAATCAAGAGATTACCAGTTCTTTTGCAACACATTCAATACAGAGTGACAAACTGGGAGCACAACAGCTGCACTTGAGTTGACATTTAACTCAAAGCCAAAATTGTGAAAGTGACAAGAAAGAAGCTTGGAAGAAAAAAGGTCATAATAAAAAAGAGAAATATAAAGATTCCAGGTTTTGTCACTTCTAAGACGAAATAATACAATCTCGATATTGGGGCAGCAGATGGTTTTCTGGAGTTAAACCCTACCAGCAAGATTCTTAAGCTACTTTAATGGATATTAGGAATAAATAAAATTAAGGGCTGTAATTACATATAGTACAGAGTAAGCAAGTCTTGTACGTCACAGTCTGCATCTTAACTTCAGCTTGTCCAGTTCTATAGAAATGGTTCTAATACTGAATTCCAAATATCCAAATCAGTATTTAAAGGACAATTTGAAGGGAACAAACATTGCATGCATCGTTTATAATCAGATTTCTTTACAAAATTTAATAATGTTGCATTAAACAGCAATGAATCAAACTATTGACGGTTTAATTAACAATGATTAACTAAAATATCAATTATGCAATGCTGATGTGGTATTAACATAAAAATTTTAATGCATCATTAATTTTATTAAAAAAAAATTATTACATCATTAATTTTAGACAATTTTGTTTTCTTTGATTTTAAATAAAAGTTTTAGAAGCATCAATGAATTAAACAAACATCATCACAATCCTGTTATTGAAGTAATAAAGTTCCCGTACTTTGGCAATGTAGAATTATGTTTCTGATAAGCTAAAACTTATTATGAAAGGATGTACGTTTGCTCAGTTGGCTACAGTGTTGGCCAACATGACCTCAGGTGAATATTTCTGGTTCCTGGTTACACGCTCAATACCTGTGATGGTTTTTGTGAAGGTGAGACTGATTTGTACTTAAATGGTTGTATCCTTGGGCTATATACTTCATTCTAAATGTTCTGAATGGCATGGGCCTCCTGTACGTTGTTCAATACGGTAACCTCTAGCCACTACAAGGAGACCCTGCCTCAAAATGACCCTGACACCGGGCCATAAATTCAGCCAGCAAACAATTGTACTCACATTATCCTAAATCATTAAAGCTATCATACCTGTCAGCTGGCCTCCCGGACTCCATCTTGGATTCATAGTCTTTTATCATGGAAGAAACTACTTCCTCATGTTCTGGTGCAATTTGAGCCACGTCATGTTTTAGGCAGCGTAGCCCTGGTACCATGGCCTCCTGGACGAGCTGATCATTGATAACTGTCAATCATGTAAGGTAAATAACTCTGTATATCGGCAGTTTTCGACTTTTTTAAAACTAAGAAATCTCCGTAAGACATGAATGCCCCAGCTAACCTGATTAAACAGAAATGTATACTTTGATTCTAAAAAGCATTTTAAAAGACAAAACAGTAAGTAATAACAGAGTTGTATCATTGTGGTTGCTACGGATACAGAGACTAAGAGAATCTGTCAATATTACAATTCATATTTTTCATGAATCCTAAAAACTAAATTTTAATCAAAAACCCTTCAGAAATGATTTGTTACTAGACAGAAGGCAATGGTATTAGGAACAACACAATACAATTTGTGCTCCAGTCTTATAAATTCAACATTCTCCAGAGTTTTACCCCTAATTCATACTTGAGATTTTATTTTTCAAATTTTCTGTTGATTTATTTGATTTCATATTACTTTCAGACATATTTTAATAACGTCTTGTCTTTAAATAACAAGAAATTTATTGACATGTCCATCATAAATCCCCACTTGAATTGACAATCTCTTCTACATCAGCTGCTTATCGCAGTCTTTTCCTTAAAGGAAACAAACATGGACAGCTTTCCACCAACCTGTATGATAAGCATGATGATTTCAATGTCCCTATAGTGAATTTTCCATTTCTGGATAGCAACATCGTTGCATCCCTAATCTATGGCATTTACATGTTGTAGTTGATTCAATGTTCAAGGGCCTGTACCCATAATCATGATTTTCATGTAAGTAGTTGTCAATTGATGGATCAACTCCTGACACAAGGATAAAAATAATGCAGGTTGGTGAAAATGATAGGAAAGTTTTACAGTTGTTATAAAGATGTTATTGACAAATATTCTATTTCTTTGTTCCATATGAAGCAGGATGTGTTTGATTTTCATTGTTGGTTACGCTGTTTTATACTTAAGAATCTGACATTACTCACTTGGAATGTCCAAGGTTTACATGAAAAGTGTCTTTGATAAAGCAAAAGATGCTTACTCTTCCAGAACACCTGGTCTTAGTCTCCTTGGCTTTTTGTCCAGTGTCTCCATATCAATTTTTCTTTTGTTTATATTTTGGCCTCAGTTTTATTGAATTTGATCATGGATCATCATTATTTTGACTTATTGTTATTTTCTTGTTTTTTCGTCTTCTACTATTTGTGGTAATTTTTTCAGGTCTGCCATGCATTCCCCAGGTTCACTGCTTCCATAGCTTTTCACAAGTACTGGTACTGACCAGGCCTAAGCGTTTTATGGTCGTTTAATAGTACAGCACAGTGTAGTATCACCTAAAATTGTCAAAGATTTTGTAATTTCTAGATCCTCCTCTGTAATAAGGTTATCTTTATCTGACCTTGAACTTTGTTTCCAAAAATAATTAAAACACTTAAGGATACAACAACAGGACATTGCACTGTACGCCTCAAACAGGAGCAGAGCGATGTCTCGCTTTCGACCCTCCGTCGTCAAGTTGTTGTTGGCTGATGCCATGGCTGCTAGTCTCGGCAGAATGACTGAAAACAAATAAAACAAACCATGAATAAACAATTAGAACAGCACCGAATAAAACATTATGATAAAACAAAATATTAATTAATTCTACAAATGATTAGAAAAAAAAAGATATATCAATTTATATTAAGTATTCGTGTTGACCCATATTGTTCAGAGAAAACTTGAAAACCAGGGGAAGACCCATATGCTGCATCAAGGCAGATAACCCATAACTTTCTAGGGGAAACCTTGGTGAATTAGTGAACTGCGAGGGTTGAATCTATAATATGATAGGATACCATGGGGTCTGATGGAATGACATAAAGTATTCTCCTTCTGATTCTTATTATGTTTAAAGTAAGTCAACCATCACACAAGTTATACAAGACTCTCCTCAACCTTTGATTGTCATCAACGACCATCCAGACAAAGAAAAGCATATAATTCGGTATAGTAATAACGACTCGCTGTTAACAGCAAAAATATATTTCCATAACGGCCTTCGAAAAAGATGGAGGCTGGCTGTTTTAACCTGTCAAAACTATCAATAATTTTGATTAAAAAAGTCAGAGAGTCAATGGTGACAGATGGAAGAATAATAATGCAGTCATTTGTTGTTGTTCAATTGATTGCAAAGTGTTTTTGTCGAAGAAAAAAATGTTTGATCAATAGGTGGAAAATGGGAATAACAGACAGTGAAATAAAAACAATTTAGATTTTCACGAATTCACGAAATCAGCAAATATCAAGGCCAATGTGCTTTTTTATGAAAAAAGTCTCCAACAATAACATGTTGTTTTTGAGAACAATTTTTAACCATTTATAGTTTTTAACTGATTCAATGAACCATACACAGACAATAAATCAATGATTTTGTGATTGTAAGATTTTTAAAATATCGTGAGAAATTCTATTTTGATACAACCAGTATAGCAGCTATGTTCTAATGATGGTATCACAACCTTCCGTCAACATTTCAAAACCATTTATCAGTGAAACCTCTTTGTGCATTCACATTCATAGTTTACCAGAATTTTTTTCACACAGATGTGGTTTAAAAATGAACTGGATATCAAGTTTGAAAATCGCTTGACTGTATGTTTATCTGGGAGAATGTTGATGATACAAGTAAAGTCCATTGTAGTCAGACGCTGTAGCCATGGAAGGGATACATACATCATTGGAATGGCCATCATAGATATGGCTACAATTGATGCTCCAGAAATGTTTTAGATATATAGACAAAATGCTTTTTAGTTTTATTCTGAACATTATCTTTGTATAGTCATCATATCTTTTAAAATGTAAAACTTCCCATAACTATTGTTTACAAAAAATCATCCATCATGTGTATATTCTATTACTGATGACTGCCAATACATAAGATAGAGAGGAAAGGGGAGGAAATGTGGGACTCAATAAAGTTATGGTAAAAATTACATCATAAAAGTTGTTAGCCATAAAAGCCATCAATCGTTTGTATATCTTACTTCAAATGACTACATAAGACAGAAAGGAGAAGGGAGGAGATGTGGAAATTAATAGTTATAGTAAATACTGTATCAAGAAAGTAGATTTTAAGATGTTTGTCTAATCTGGCCTTCACATTATTCATTGCAAACTCTTATGCAGCGTTATTCATGCAAATTTTACAATTTTGATACATTGGAACCCACTTAATGTCATGTCTGTTGATGTCACTTTCAGGTTAATATCATGTTTTCTTTGAAACACCAATTTTTTCCTACATATTTTTTGTAATCCAAAAGCTGATAATGTCACTTAATGTCATGTGGGCAACACCTAATATCAGTTCATTTTGACGACTTAACAAAAAAAAAAAACAAAACAAAACAAAAACAAAAACAAAAACAAAAAGAAAACCTGGGTAAGTCACAAGTAAACAAGGACATGAACTATGGATTCTTGCTTGTAGGTAATACGTCACACCTGGATGTGTGATGTAATTTTCCCCACTGCCCTACTGACCTACTTTTCACACCTGTACGACCCACCTAGGTCAAGAAGTCCAGTGCATTTGTTATTTTGATTGGCTATCCAAGTGTTAAAATAGATTTTGAACCCTGTGTCACTTTGAACTTGTCATGATACAATTAATGATGGAGCAGACGACATGCCCGACGTGTCCAAGGTGTCTGACCTGCTGTCGAAACTTTTTGAAAAGGAGTCTTTTGTATTCATATCGGGATCAATAACAAAACAGTAAGGAATATTTTGCAAAAAACATTTCAGAAAATAATCAACCATGAACCATAATTTATGATAAATGAGTCAATGTCATTACAAAATGTCACCATCTTTAAATTTACGAGAACACATTTCTGTTTCAAATATAAGATGCTAAATTAACTGACTTGAACTTCAAGTTTCACGAAATAAAGTCTGGATTAGGCCTAATTGAACATGGAAAATTATCACATGATCCGTGAAAAGCTTCATGGGGCCGCTTACATCTTTGCTGATATCATTTCATTTTTCTAAAATGATTCGTTCATGGTAAATAATGTATGGTATAAAATTAAGATTGAAAATCCAATTGGTCATGATATCAGAACGTCAACGTTTCAATATTTCTTCAAATCATTTATTGTTTAAAATATTGTGAACACTGATAAAGTGACAGTAAAATGTTCTGAAACCAGGTTTTACCCAATGCCATGTTTCACGAGATGTGATTGGTCATTAAAAATAACCATTGACCTAACGGCCAATGAAACAGGGCATTTCAAAGGTGAATAGTTCACATTCTGTTGACTATTTTTTAGGGCAATGCTTGAATTGCAATCTTTGAAACATATTTTATTGAAGTTGCACAGATACACAATGTATATATATATTGACTTTGCAATGATTTACCATTAAGAAGCCTATAGAGTGACTGATGTGTAAACTGTGAATATGACAATAATTATATCATGAATGATCACGAACATTTATGATGGCGGTTTACATATTTAAAGGAATAAACAAACAAAAGTTAAGGACAATCACTTTTCTTATGGAAAAAACCAATCAAATTACATATTCCTTGTCTTCGAACAATTTCTGTTTTAGAGACAAGTCATTTTGGCACATCAGAAAATTAACTTCTGGGTTTAGACACCTGGAAAAACATGTCAACTGTTAATGTCACATTTCACTTATTATCACGTTTCCCCCTTCCAAATGAAACATGATATTAAGCGGGTTTCACTGTACTTATAGGTTAGGGAAATAAATTGGGGTAATTAAAAATGTGATGGTAATTTAATTAACTAAATTAATTACAATATGAATAGCTAAGTTATTGAACCCATGCTGAAACCAAAAAAAAAAATTTCTTTAAAAATTGATACAGGACTGCTGGAGTATGAAATATGCACAGAATTCAGCATTTTAACAAACTGTAACTAACAACAAATAAGCCTACACTAGGAAGTCAGCCTATACTATACTGAAACTCCTCAAGAAATTCCAACAGATCAATATTGTCCTTTATATAAGCCCATCCTCCATACTTCGTGAAATTTAGCAATTTCTTATATATCAAAAAGTCCAAATGTACCATCAACAGTTACGCAGATGGCGACACTGTTTATTATCAACTCCCAGTCAACCAAATGGAACATGTATAATTCAAATCTAAATTCATTTCTTCCACAACGAACAAAGAATGAGGATTCAGAGATGGAGAGAAGGGGAAGTGGAGAAATGAGACGTAGATAGGGGAAGGAGGGGGGGGGGGGAGGGGAGAAGGAGGGGGGAGAGGAGGGAGAGGGTGAGAGGGGGGGAGAGGAGGGAGAGGGTGAGAGGGGGAGAGGGGGGAGAGGAGGGAGAGGGGGAGAGGGGTGAGAGGGGGGCGAGGAGGGAGAGGAGGGAGAAGGTGAGAGGGGGGAGAGGAGAGCAGTAGCAAAAGTAACAGAACAGTGACAGCATCTACAGTCATGAAGATAGACATCAGGAATACATGCTGGAAATCATCCTATGGGAATGATGAGGATAAATTTTACCACTATTAATCATCAATATGACAGATAAGTATGAAACTTGGCCAAATAATTATCGTAAAAATAATAGAAATTGATTTTGACACAAAAAAAAACCCTGATAAGAACGGTAAGTTTGACACAGATGGATGTTTTTCACGAAATACAATATCCTATCTCCGACCAACTATCGGGAAATATACGATGTATCTTTTCTGTTGTACACTAAGGTTCTCATGAAATTACAAATCTGTTTATCAACAGGTTCCTATATTTCAATCAGCCATGTCCAACTTGTTTAGAATTAATTATCATGGATTCATTATCATCCATGATTATGTGATCTCAGTCGTGTTTAAGCAATATGTCCTAATGCCATTTTCATTGAGCAGTATAAGCCCACATTTGCAACATCAACAAGAGTATCAGAAAAACTGATGATAGCTGTCCCAAAACAACTTTAGAGGACATGAATTTTAACAAAGGGCAAAAACTCTGTAATAAAGGTGTTTTAGACACTAAATTTAGAATGCTATACATTCTCTTAGTAGACCAATGTTAATACACCAACTTTAATTATCCTTGATTAACTATAAGCAAAGTTATGCTAAGTAAAAAGAGCAATAACTCTGTAATGAGGGGATCGCAGGCCCTGAATTTGGTACACTGCTCATCATCTAAGCATTAACAATGTATACACCAAGTTTCATTATCCTGGCTTAAATGAAAGCAAAGTTGTGCTCTGGACACAAAAAATTTAACAAAGGGCAACAACTCTGTAATGAAAGGGTTGCAGGTCATGAATTTTGTGCATTGCACATCCATTTAGTATAAATTAAAATTCATTTCCCTAACATTGGTACAGTGCACATTATCTTTGTATGACCAATATATACATGAAGTTTCATGATTCCTGCTTAATCGTGGGAAAAGTTCTGCTCCGTAAACCAAAAAAAGGATGGACAGAAAGACAGATGGACAGACAAAGTGTTGACTATATGCTCCCCAAAAACTTTTTGGTGAACATCAAAATC